CCGGCTGTGTGAGCCAGGATGGCTATGTGCATGATGGTAAGCCGTCGCTAGGTTTGATCATTGAATGCCTATACTAACAATCACAGCACAATGTGTCATCTACAAGGGGCCCGACGCGAAGTACAACGGACACGAGATCTGCTTCAACTACAACGAGGATACACTGACCATCGTCGACGTCACCAATAAGAAATCTCCGGTGCAAATCTCCAAGACTCCCTATGTTGGCTCCAGCTACACTCATCAGGGCTGGCTTACCAACATGGAGAACATGTCGTACCTGCTGCTTGATGACGAGCTCGACGAGATGGACAAGACTGGGGTGGCCGCCAACGGACATACTACAACTTACATTTTCGACATCCGCGATCTCGCTCAGCCCAAGCATACTGGGATTTACCAGTCTCCCGTCAAATCGATCGACCACAACCAGTACGTGCTCAATGGCCTCTCTTACCAGTCCAACTACGGCAGTGGCCTGCGCATCGTGGATGTGAGTTCCGTCGAGCAGGATCCCACCGGCGCGCAGTTCAAGCAGGTCGGCTTCTTTGACTGCCACCCTGATGACGATGCCGAAGGTGGTAAGGTTGAGTTCGTTGGAAGCTGGAGCGTTTATCCTTACTTCAAGAGCGGCAACATCCTCCTGAACAGCATTGAGCGGGGTGTTTATTCTTTAAAGTACACTGGTGCGAAGTGATGACCTTTTGATTGAACTATCATTGGGACATGGTCATAATTGGAAAGCGTCATTAATGAGCTGAATAGAATGGATTCAATACAACCACTATCTATGACTAGAAGTTAGATTTCAAAAACAAGTTTTACCTAGGGTATAATAAGTCTATGAAGAACTTGCGCCAGTCTGATATAGGTACTAGTTCGCATCATGTTACTAGCTTAATTGCTTAATATTTGTGGATTATTAATGGTGGAGCAAACCTCTTGCATTTATCAATTGCTCATACAATGCCTTGCCCAGAGAAGTGCTTGTACGTCAAGGGGCCAGCTCAGATGAGAGCAGAATGTACTCTGTAGAAGGGGTATTCCAGACACGAGTCCTGAAGCAATCAACGATTTAGTCCGATGAATCGACCATTATATGACATTTGAAAATGATCCAGGACAAATAGGAACTAATGATGGTAAATATCCAACTGAAGCAGTGCGAAGGCGCACTTGATAAGCATTGCTTGAACACTTACAGACATCAATCTGCGTTAAGGAGCTTGCGAGATCCTGACTTTACCTTGGTGGTCTCAGAACTAGTGCAAGTCTGCGCCACGCTTTTCTAAACAATGCAGCCTTCTATATCAATATTGCTTACTGGGGCCCTGTCCCTGTATATTTGGTTTTTCTCAGAGAAGTGGGGTTGAAACCGAGAACTGCTCTTACTTTAATCCTGACCTTCCAAGCCTCTCGAATGAGAAGCAACAAGATCCATCCCTGATGACAACTACCTGTCTGCGATCAACATTGAACTAACTTTAAGTAAGTATTTGGCTAATTGACTTCCTGATTTTCCATAACGCTTCGTCGCTACCGGTATACTGACCTCCACATACTAGAGCTGGAACCGAAGCCTGCAAACGCTCACTCATACCGAATGCCACGGAGACTCTTGCTGTTTATAGGCACACCGGACTCATCACAATTATAGACCGGGATTCATGATCCGCGTCGCAGAGCTTGTGCTGGCTGATCCTGGCGCGTCACCAACGACCCCGGTGCCAGATCGCCACAATGGTTGAGTAGAGGAGACCAGACAATCTGGCTTGAATGGCTAGAAAGTGGCAGCACAAATTCCATTGTCAGTAACGCATGATAGGTGAACACACTCTACAAAGCTGGTACGGCAGCGGCCAAGCATTTGTCCTCAAAGTGAGCTCGGGCCTCTGTTCAGGAAGGATGACGACAATGATCTTGCGTTTGCGATTAGTGGTAGAGTGAATCCGGATGGTCCGTTGACGAATCATTTGGTAATCCTGAGGGCGACTGGAGACTCTTTCACTTCTACTGATTATCTGGACAGAGATCCAAATCTTCAGCATTGGCACTATCCTAGCCTAGAAGGCAACTGCATCGCTTGCAGAGGAAAGGGCCAGAGAATGTCTACCTATCGCCTTTCTGTCTCGAAAGATAATAAGAACCCGGAAGCTGAACAGGATAGAGGAAAAGGATATCCTATTCTATTGCAATGACTTCAAAGATGTGGACTTCGAAGGAAGTTCCCCGATGAGTGCGACCCTTTTCTTACTTCCAACTTCTAGCGGGACTATATAGTTGATGTAGGAACTAACCTATCTTTGCATAGCTCCATATATCTACTACGATTCACACAGTGAGGGAAGGAACCAGGACGGCAGTGACCGCTGGGGTGGACTTCAGTAAAGTCTAATGAATCTGTCAAGAGTCAATACCCATTATGCCTGGGCCAAGCCCCACGTTCATGGCAGCAAATACACCATTATGGCGCTCTGCCAGGATTACGCTGGGATGCAATGGCTGCTACCAGTGGTATAGTGCAGGATAACTATGACATTCCAAACAGTGTTCATCTCAATGATTTTGACGGAAAGCGATTGGTAAAGCCAGGGCGTTGTTCCAAGCCTTGAGGCACACTCTTCAATTCCCTCATCAATCTTATTCTGTGCTGTGTCATAGAGAGATGTTCGGACTTCGGGCCATATAAGTCAATGAATCAGTAAAAAGATCTCATGACATGCATCTTCCTAGAGTGGACTAACGAGAATGCCCTTGCCTTCTGCTCTAAGACCTCATCTCACATCTCTGACATCGGAAAAAGGCTGGCGCTTCCTCGGCCCTAGAATGGCCTGAATTGTGACAAATCGTATAATTAGTCTTGCCACGCGCTGGAACTGCATAGGGAATGCATAAGGTATTAACCGCCATCTGGATTATCTCATTCGGCTGTCTTCGAAAGCACAGGTGTCAGTGAATGCAGCAGCCTAGACAATTTTGCCCGATACTGACCTTGGTTCACAGAGCCTCAGCCCTGAGTCCTTCTCATCAATCCTGTTAGAATTCTTGAAGAACCCTAGATGATGGATCTATCGCGGAAATCCACATTGACATGTACCTATCGCTTCAAGCCAATGAGCAGAGAAGCGAGAAGATGCGTCTGAGGGTTTGGGGAGAGTTGATTGGTAGAATTGGTTGCTGCTGTCGTAGAGAGTGTCCTTTGCCAGAGGGAGGGTTAAGCTCCAGATATTGATGGGACACGCTATAGGCCAGGCGCTCTAAACTCGTATCTAACCAGTTGCTAATAGCGATAATGTCCCGACAAGGACCTAGTCTTGGAAAGATTTCACCGGAGATAAACCGAGGTAGCAACGATATGCAGTCAGTTCTCCTACACAATCTAGCGGCCGTTCATCATCAAAGTTTTGTATCTACTGAATTTTGGCTATCTTTGAAGAGAAGAGATGACCTCTCATTATGTCTTACCAAGATGTACCTGCTTTTACTAGATAGCCAGCCATTTCTCGTGCAATATGTCCACTAATTCTCGCTACTAACGAATATCTAAAACAAGGGACCATCGTAGTCCGTTCACCCAAGGGCTTCTCTTTTGCAAAGGTCAAAGGCATTCAACCAGAAGGGAGTAAAGGGGAATATTTGTGCCTTGAGCAGAGAGCGTCAAAAGGTCTAGGAACATTCAACTGGCAGTAGAATTTTATAGACTAAACGTAATCTTCCACGGAAAGTAACCACTTTTAGAGGCCGATATAGAATCTATGTAAGAACTCGGAAAGACAGAGTTTCTCGAAATGGCAAGAATTGGGTCGGAATCAACACAGTAACAGGATTTGCTATGATCAAGAGTGAGTCAGAAGCTTTACGGATAATTCCCAACACTTGTGACTAAATTTTGATGGTCAAGTTGGGCTATAGTAGGCAAGCGCTGCTCTTTGTTACTGGTCGTAGATAAAGACGAAGCATCCAGGTTACCTAGATTGAGCTACATAGCAAGACAATGTACGTGTCACCCGACGGTGACTAGCAATAGTTCCTTTTTCACATATAGCATGCTCATCATCGTTTAATCAGTCACTCAAGGCTTTGAGCCATCGGAATCTGACGAAGCTCGGCAGGGAATAGATATCCCTCATACTACGTACTACGGATAGAAGTGGAAGAACGAACTCACACTTTCGATTACCATCCGGATCAGGAACAACTCCGAAACTCAATTTAAGGCAGAACCGTTTTACCACAGCGGAAACAGACTGTGATCTCGAATTTGAGACAAGTTACACTTCAGATTGGACCAATTTTAAGGGCCCGCACGGAACCATGGGATGACATGAAACCAAGTTATCCCACAACTCTTGCTCAGCACCTCGGTATCTGCAAGAGTCCTCATGAGGAAACTGTCTCACAAAACTACATCAATTCGGCATTGCAGTTAACTAGACTCCGACGTAGCAGTGCATTTCACACCCCCATATATGAAGATGCGAGAGAATCCGGGAAAGAAGGCGATAGAGTTCAGCCACAATATGGGGTAGAAGGTACCCGTCCAGTCAAGGTTACTAGTCAGTCTTGAAGATTCCCAGGAAGTACCTGAGACTTGAGGTCTGATGATCCCCCGCACTCATTAGTGTAGGATGTAGGCCCAATCAACTATAATTGTTCCGAAGAATGTCAGCGAAGTTTTCCCGAAACACGACAATCCTGAGACCTGCCTGCAAGCTAAGCTCAAGCCCAAACCACGAGACTCCTGAAGATTCACGGTTCTTCCCTTGACTATCTGAGGTGCCTCGGATCGGCAGTTGACAGAGACGAGGTCTTGAAAGGTTTCTGAATAGGCATCCTTCGGAGTTGTGCCCAAATATGGACTTGCTGAAGGGATATAAAGCACCTGCGACGCAAGGTGTTGAGTGCAGCACCAACAGCATCTTCTCCTGCCAGGTCATCCTTACTACCTCCAGTCAAGTTGACATTTCCAGTTTCAACCCTAGCCCGAGTTCCTCAGCGACATGTCTCTGCGCTCACTCTTCGTAGCTGCCTTGACCACTCTGGCAATGGCAGCACCTGCTTCCGAGATCCAGGCCCGTCAAGGCATGACCTCCAACGAGCTCGAAAGCGGCGCTTGTCGTGATGTGACTTTCATCTTCGCTCGAGGCTCCACCGAGCAGGGCAACATGGTATGTCTCTCACCCCGGCGCTCACCAACATGACAGAGTTGACGATCTTAGGGTTTCATCGTGGGACCCGGAGTCTGCAGCTCGCTGAAGAGCGATCTGGGCTCCGACAAGGTCGCCTGTCAGGGTGTGGGAGGGGCATATACCGCACAATTACTTCCCAACTTCCTTTCTCAGAACACGGATCAGGCATCCATCGATGCAGCCACGGATATGTTCAATCTGGCCAACACCAAGTGTCCGAATACGAAGATTGTGGCTGGTGGATACAGGTATATCCTCTGCATCGTAAACAGTGAAGACCCACAGCTAACCTGATATAACAGCCAAGGTTCTGCCGTCATAGACAATGCGATTCAGGCGCTTGACAGTGATCTCGAAGCGAAGGTCAAGGGAGTGGTCCTGTTTGGATTCACCCGTAATGTGGTCGATAAGGGACAAATCCCGGGTTATCCCACGGACCAGACCAAGATCTATTGCGCCTTTGGTGACCTGGTTTGTGATAATACGCTGATTATCACCCCGGCGCACTTGAGCTATGGAGTGGATGCAGGGGATGCTGCCAAGTTTCTTGCTTCAAAGGTCTAGGGTTGACGTGGATCCTAATGACAATGTCAACTGATGAAAGGACAACTGGAAGAGCTGGTCTCAACATGATTATTTTTGATGTATCTAGGAATAAATCTAGGAACTCGATGCCTGATTCGTAAATTGATGCAGCTGTTGCGAGTAAAATATTCTGTATGCATGTTAGTCTGAGTCTCGAGTATTGAAGACAAAAAAGCGCTACTCTGGCACATTCTTGGCCCCGCGGTCTTACTCTTGGAAAGAGGTATGGAGGAGATGAACCAGGCCTGTCACCAGGGACCATGTGACATAGGGCCATCTCAACTGTCGGACATGGATCCTGAATCAATCGTCTCGCTTACTGCACACATCTCTGCTAAGGTTGAAACAGGAATCATATGGACGCTTGCAATCACTGAAAGTTATCGTATCAAGACACTGATACAATTTTAAATAACAGATTCATGAACTTGCGAAGCGACGCCTTGGGCTCCTCACCTCGCTCTAGCCTTCATCGACAAATTTTGAAAGTGAAGCCGGCCTCAACCAGACACACAAGCTCTTCTCAGGAGGCTACAACCCATGCAGACAAGACTCGATACAGCGCAAGGGGAAATGATTCCTGCGACTAGTAACTTGACTGAAGATTTCTTGGCTCTTACGTTAATGAGAAAATCGAGGTGGCTGACTTTCGTGCTAGAACTCAATAACTGCCGACTTATGTCTTACCCAACCGCGAGATATATCCTCTACGAGATGTTTCACAGTTTAGCCGACAGCACACATAACCTACCTACGATGCCAAATCGTCCGAGCATTGGTTCCCTCATAATCCAACACCTACGATGTTTGTGCAGCGTAGTATGCAATATCACGAAGGATTTTTGCGCCGAGTCAACGTAACTTCCTGCTTCTTCACGAGCTGCTGAGGCTATGGCGCAATATATCATGACAATGGCGATCACGAAGGGATCTTGAATTCTCCGTATAAGGGCTGAGATTGCTCATGGATGCGCTGTTGTCAGTTCCGCTTCTTGGCTTTCCCGAGCTGACCAGGCAAGACTTGGGCGTATAACACTGGTACATTCAGTCAGGCTGATATTCAGTGGCACACAACTGACGCTGCATGCAGAGGAGAAAGTTATGGCATTTCGTGCGATTCGAATGTACAGATTTGTATTCCACCATTGACTCTCAGAAGCTCCGACTTCTATCAGAATATTGCAATCGAATGAGAGCGGGGTGGACCATTTCGATAACGTGGTGGAACGATGATCTGGCGATAACGCTCCGCTACGGAGATATCACGACATCAATGACAAATGAGCGTGGTGCGTGCCTGCCAATGACGGCGGATGTAACCCACGTGCTTCTTGACCGAAACCGAGATTTCAGCTTAATCGTACAGCGAGACCGTCAGTTCATGTCTACAAAATGTCACTCTCCTGATTTCGTCGCTCTGTCTACGAGCCAATTCCTTTAGCAAAACCCGGTCGTCGAAGAGATTGCATGCGGCAGCCAATGGCGGCAAAATCGAGCAAGCATGGAGTCACGTATGGAACGGGAACCCAGGTTTGGGACGAAGAAGGCTATCGGGCACGTTTCGCGGCGAGCCATGTGGAAGAAGGCCCAAATGATGTGTTTGCAGCGCCGTTGAAACGACATCTGCGGTCGAGACATTTGCATATGATCGCGATTGGAGGTACGTCTCGCTTTGACGTACAAGAAAAAGCACGCCTAACGTCAGGCCAGGAATTATTGGACCCGGGTTGCTGGTGGGTTCGGGCAATGCCTTCAGTAAGGGCGGTCCAGCTGGCGTGTTGATCAGCTTTTGTTTGGTTGGTATCATAGTTTTCTTCGTCATGTAAGTTCTAGCCGAGTCTTTGAATGACCAAGGCTGACGAGCAAGGCAATCATTGGGCGAAATGGCTACACTCATTCCGGTAACTGGCTCCTTCACCGAATATGCGCAGCGTTTCATCGACGACTCTCTTGCTTTTGGGTTAGGATGGGCTTACTGGTATCTATGGGTGACGGTAGGCCCTTGTTCTTCTACTGTGGCTGTCAGTCCTAACCAAATTAGGTCCTTGCGAACGAATACAATGCCATCTCGCTTGTTATAGGATACTGGACTGATGCTGTACCTCAATGGGGATGGATACTCATCTTCTGGTTCCTATTTCTGGGTCTGTCTAACCTTGGCGTTCTGGCCTATGGCGAGATGGAATTCTGGCTATCATTGTATGCTTCCAGCGGTGCCTCCCTGCGTCTTTGTGACTAACAATTGCTAGAATTAAAATACTGGCCCTCATTGCTTTCTTTATACTGGCCATTTGCATCAGTACAGGGGGGGTAGGCCCTCAGCCAATTGGATTCAAGTACTGGCATGATCCAGGGCCTTTTGCGGACTCCATCAATGGTGTTGCCCGAACTTTTGTCGTTGCTGGAACGTTATATGCGGGAACAGAGATGTAAGTCAGAAAGTTGAGTTACAGACTTGAAGTACCCGCGTTGATGGCGTAGGGTTGGCATTACTGCAGGGGAATCGGCAAATCCACGCAAAGCTGTCCCGACAGCCATCCGCCAGGTGTTTTGGCGGATCCTGGTTTTCTATATCGGTGAGAAAAGTCATCAACTAACTTTCAAATTCCATCTACTGACTACCATAGGAACGATGTTCTTCATCGGAATACTGCTTCCATACAATGACAAGCGACTACTGGGCTCAAGCTCCGATGCAGCAAGCTCACCTTTGACAATTGCTTTGACGGATGCTGGTATTTTGCCTGCAGCTCATCTGATCAACGCGCTCATTGTGGTCAGCGTCATATCCGCAGGAAATGGCTCCCTCTACGTAGCGTCTCGCACTTTGCTCTTCATGGCTCGTAATGGCAAAGCACCTCGGTTCATCGGACGCACAAATACAGCGGGGGTACCCTGGGTTGCGTTGATATTCTCCAACGCCTTCACCTGTATTGTGTTTCTGACACTTTCTTCGGGGGCCGGAAAGATCTATTCGGCCTTGATCACCTTGTCCGGTGGTAAGTTGGCCTCTCACCCTCCGGGTTCTTGTCTGTTAACGAGGGACAGTGGCGACATTCATCGTCTGGGCCGTAATCGGAATCTGCCACATTCGCTTCCGTCAAGCCTTGGTCGTGCAGGGAGAGGATCCTGCAAAACTGCCCTTCAAGGCGTGGCTGTATCCGTGGGGCACATACTTTGCTGTCACGCTCAACATCTTTCTGGTATTCTTTCAAGGGTACACGGCGTTTTTGAGCCCCTTCAGCGCGGACGACTTTGTGATCAACTATATTTTGCTTCCTGTGTTTGCCCTGTTTGTTCTGGGTTATAAGTTCTGGCACAGGACCAGGTGGGTGAAACTAGAAGAGATGGATATCTGGACAGGTAGGAGGGAGTCACCGGACGTATTTGAGGCGGATGAACCGCAAGTCAAGAAACAGAAATCATGGTGGTCTCGATTATTGGCGGTTGTCATTGGCTGAGGATCCGATATATAGTAGTAGCATTGATTGATAGTTCTTAGATGAATCCAAACATCTCCGGGCTCATTCAGTTACTACTTAATACTTTAGACCGCGGCTCCCGCTGTCGTATGTATCGGCGAGCGCCGTTATCGGCCGGAAGACCTGGTTCAAGATAATGAAGTTATCCCACCAACAATCAAGAGTATTCCAAGAGAAGCTGCAGATATCTATGCATGATTCAAAGTAGCCGGCTGGGCTTCAAGGCGGGTTGCAAATTAAGGTCCCTGGTAAACGGGAGCGGTTCCATTTTAGGATGCGGGCCGTGATGGCGGATTCCGTCGGAGATCACAAGTGGAAGAGGTCCTTTCTGATTAAATTAGATTCAGAGCCGATCATGATCGTCGTGGGGGAGTGTATGGGTGGGAATCTTTCTCGCTTAATAGCTTCATCGAGCCGGTTTGTATGAAGAATTGAAATTCGCTTCGACACGAATCTATTCTGGTATATGAGGACCTGAATTGACCGGTGGAGGATCCCGCAAAGAACACTCAAAACCATCAGATCAACATCGTGATATCCAGGATGCCAAGTGATTGGACAATTCCTTGTAGAGTTGTTCTGCAGACCATCCGACTAGCGTCTCGGATAAGCAACAACTGATAACCTCCTCGCATCGAATCAGACCGCGTTCTCGGCCAACGGGATCACAGCGAAAGGGATATCCTTTCCATCCCCGGATGCTTTGGCCGTCATTCACTTCGTCACGGGATGTGGACTATCCAACCACAGATCCAGAGCAACCTACGATTCGCTTCGACAGGAAGACTTGACTGTTTCGAATCCCCCGCCAAGGGGCCTCGTCATCCAGATACGATCGACATCCTGACGGGATCGGCATCACCTCTGCCGAATTGGTTATCGAGGGTTCTCGCGGAGAGTACCGAAATGTAACCCCAGGCCGTCGTTTGTTGTATTGACTATCGCGATACGCGGCTGCCATGGTGCTGTACAATCTACGAGGACGGGGAATCTGAGCGACCAACGACGTCCAGACAACCGAGAAACGAGAATATTTAAGCCTGGCATTCCCACTGGATCTCACGGCTTCGTACCAGGGAACACAGCTCAGATCATCCATTTCTTCAACCTGATAATCCCAAGATCCTCATCCCCGTCGATCAAGATGTTGTACAACAAGGTGCGTCGCAGATACACCCCCTACCCCTCGACCCAGATAAGCAAGCATTCCACCATCCTAACAAAACAACCAGCTCATCGCCGTCGCAGCCTTGCTGCTCACCCCTGTCCTAGCCGCTCCTACTGAAATTGACACTCGCGCCTGCGCCTACACCTGCGGCAGCAACTGCTACAGCTCGAGCGCCGTGAGCGCCGCTCAGGAAGCCGGTTATGAGCTCTACGCCGCCGACGAGACCGTTGGCAGCAATGACTACCCCCACAAGTACAACAACTACGAGGGCTTCGACTTCCCTGTCTCCGGTACCTACTATGAGTGGCCTATCCTGAGCTCTGGAAAGA